TCCACGTGTGGAACCAGGACGACATAATCATCCCCATGACCCCCGTGCACGAGAGCCCGTTAGCCAGCCCGCTGATGTCCGTCATCCCGTACATCCCCTCGTTCTTTCCCAGCCACCTCAGCATCGCCAGCCCCACCACCACCACTCAGCCGCTTCCCAGGGAGAGTGATGCGTGAGGAGATAAACACACACCAAGCCTCTTCAGCTACTTCTGCATCTGAAACCGCTTCTAGTTAAAACAGACCAGTTTCCAAAAATGTTTGGAGAACTAATTTACCTTGGAAAATGTGCTGAAAATCCACGAGTCACCCCCAAGAGACGATTGTGATTCGGAGATCTGGAATATTCAGGAGGATCGCCTTCATTAGTTGCTTTTTCCAAGAGTTTTGTGCCAAGACAATGCAGTGATCTTTTTTCGCCTGCCAAACCAAGCGTTTCAACTGATTATTTCATTTAATTGTTGTCAGGAGCCTTTGATCCTTTTAAGCGAAATATATTGTTCATAGTCGTGTGAAAAAATATCCTACTTATTATTCTAATAAATATATTCACGAATCTCAAAAGAATTGTTGGCATATTAATGGCTAATAATATTTTTAAACCTCTGTTAAAAGAGTAATTCAAACTCAAAAAATAAGACTAATTTTATTTTGCAAACTGAACAAAGGGTTTATTTGAGCCATCCTTCCAGGACTGGTGCATACCCATTTGGGAGGATGCAGGTGAGCTTTGATGAAGTTGAGCCGACCTGACTCTCATGCAGTGAAGCAATTTCTGTGGTTATTTTCCTAAAATGCTGTTTGGTTTATGTCAGACATGTTGTCTTGATCTGATTTCCAAATAATTCAGGTTTAGACTCTTCTATCCTAGGAGCACTAGACTCAGACGTCCTGCTGTTTTCTCTACATTCCTTCTGGGAAATTTTAGTCGGGCCTTTCAGTTTTTCCTCAAATAGTAAATGTTTTCATCCTTGCATATCACATATGGAAGTTAAGCTTATGACTGTACAAGAATGTCATTTCTTATCAACAGTAGACTTATTTTAGCATCTTATGCTAAATAAGATGCTAAAAGTTTAATGTCCTCCACTGATAGTTTGTCTTCAACTGATTTTTTTTTTTCATTTTTACTTTAAAATGAGCTATAAAAAAAGCAAAAATAGCACACACTGCAGGATTCTAATGTCTGCTTTCTTTGTGAATCAAAGACAAATAACGGAGTAAGGCGCTAACATATGCTGACGCAGTCGTATTCTGATGCTGAAAATATCTGTGGGCCTTAAGGAGCTTGGCTGTCAGGATGAAGTTAATTCAATTAGCTAAGGTGACCACTTTAAGTTGACTCTTTGATACCTTTTAGAGACTCGACGATTAATGGGAAAAAATGGAAACCTCAAAAATAGAGTGAAAATTTTGTTTCCTATATAAATGAAGTACAAATAAACCCAAAGCCTGAAGGAAGCCATTTTATGTTTATTTCATTTTAAGGTTTTCTTCATCTTTAAGTTACAGTATTTAAATGTGTTATTTAAGAGTGTTTGCTTTTATTTAAAATGTTTCTATGAGTTTCATTTATTTTTCTTTATATAAATGTGTATATTAATGCATTGAGACAATTTAGTCAAACAAGCCTCAGTATGCAAGACAAAATCATATTATGGGGTCTTATGCACGCAGGACATTGGCTAAAATGAAAAAAAAAAGTTTACAGTTAAAAACTTGACAGCATTTAATTGTATCAGATCAATTTTCCCAACGTCATTCATTTTTATGCTAATTTATCTATTTGAATTAGTTTTGCTTTTTCTCTAATTTCCATGCTTTTTTTTAAAACAAAATTAAAAGTTTCTGATCTAACCTTGTTTTGAAAATCTAGTACCTTGCGCTGACATTGCTCATCCCATATGTGAAAAGTATTTAGTGATGGGGACAGATTAGAGTGAGGAGATTAGATGAGCAAGTTTGGCATCCAAAATGCCCTTTTATTACTTTGCTGCAGATTTAGACGACTGGAGCGTCCTAGTCAAATCAGAGTTGGTGATGTTAAGGATCTTAGTATGTTGCTTATGCAACATGCACTAGAATCGTGAGAACTTCCCCAAACCTCAAACAAATGGATGAAGCAACTAACTTGTGATAAACATGGTAGGGGATGTGATTTTAATTTCAGAAAATTTTGATTCAGAGTGAGATGGTTGTTTAATATGGAGCAACTGAACACGAGATGAGCAACACTACACAATAAACACGTGCAGTGTTATCCTGTTATAACATAGACATACTAGTTCAAACTATGGAGTCATCTTGGCCTCTCAGCAGAGATTAAAGTCTTGGAAAGAAGAAGTTATTATTTTTACTCAACATGTGCAGCTAAAAAAATCTGAGTACTTTGAAAAAAAAAGTGGAAAAAAAAACCTATATAGATTCATTACGCATAGTGTAAAATATTTCAACTCATTGTTTCTTGTGCTTTTGATGATTGTGCCTTAGAAATAATAAAAACTCAAATTGGAGTTGGACCATGTGTTAAACAAAGCTTCAATATGTGAGAAAAAATGACCAGCTGGGGAATAACACTAGAGCTGTTTTATTATAAGTTATATTAAAGGGCTAGTTCACCGTTTTATTAAGCAATCCAGTCAATATTTGCTTATTTCTTATTCAAAATGTAAAACGATCAGATACAAACACCTGGAACTGGATTAATATAAATTGAATAGAGATTACAGTTTGAGCTTTATAGCACCTTTGTGTTTGGCTTTATGTGTATGACATACAAAAACGGATATTCTCATTACTTTTTTTGCAATAGGTTCAGATTAAATTGAATAAGTCATTGGAACTGCTGTATTTACATGGGTCAAACTTGGACTAAATTTCACTAGACTGATTACACGTCATTTAAGATGACAAGATTCGTTATCGTTTCATTGGTGAGGCAGCTTGGACTTGTTTTGGTAAACAGTTTTTCCCGGTGAGGTCAGAAACAGCTGACCTTGTTAAACACCAAGAGGAAATTAAACTGTCTTGTTGAAAATGTCACGGCCTTAGAAAAATGAAGCGATTAAAGTGCAAAGTAAGGTCTGCGAGTACCTGCCTGAGTACCTCCTGTGAAGTCACATCTTCCTTTAGATAGACTCTAATCGGCAGTAACTGACACGATGAGCAGCCCGATTAGGTTTTCTTCAGGTCTGCGGTGGATTTATGTAAGTCAGGGTTAAGTGAGCCTCACCTGTCTTTTATCCTCAGATTACCCCAACCAACTTCTCCTGGTCTGACAGAGGACTGTCAGCCCAGCACTAAGTCTGGTGGTGCATTACACCAACAGGCTGAAATTCATCCTAATTGGATCTACATACACCTCACTTACTGTGAGTTACCTTATAATAGCCTTTAGCAAAGACCACAGTATGCTTGGAGCAGAAGAGTCTCTCCCTTTATGCCACGTAAAAGATTAAATTTACATTAAACATTAGAGATTAGGGATTATAATTTAACAAAATGTTATAAATTGTGTTTGTTTTAGTATCCAGGGGAAGAACATCCTCTCTAAAACACTCTTACATAAAAAGAGAGATAAGAGCACATTTAACAAAAAAAAAAGCTTCTCCACAGATGATAGAAAAATGAACAGAAAACATCTGTTGTAGAGTTTTTTTTTTCTTTTTTTTTTCGCTTCCTCTCCCAGGTTAGCTGTCATTGGTTGGTTCGGTTCCTCACAGACCTGGGAGCTGCCATCCTGCAGTCATTCAGGCTAATCCTCTGTTGGCAGGCCAGGCCGTTCTCTGTGACGGAAAAAGCGCTGACAGTCAAAGTCTTGTCCCCGACTGCCCTACAGCCACAGCCTATCAGCTGCAGAGATCCAAACCTTCACAAATCTGAAAGTTATACAGGAGCGGCGAGAAGAAAGCCACAAGAAGTCCTGTTCGCAGATTGCCACAAGTCATGCGGGGAAGAAAGCAAACGTGGACGGACAGATCTGGTCAGAGGAGACCAAAATGCAAAGTAATATCTGAGGCAGAACATAAAACAGCAGAGAAAGGGAAGCTGAAAATACTTAAGAGTGTTGCAGAGACTTTCATTCCAGCAAAAGGATGGCCTTATCACATGCAGCCACGGCTACAATTATGGGTTATGATCAGAAACAAACCAAGGCCTCCAAACATTCTAGCTTCTGAGTCACAAAATAACAGGAAGAAACTCCTCGCCCTCTGTTATTTGTAGGAAAGTCAGTGAAACTGGGGTATGAAACATAAACAGCATCAGCAGCCATTACATTGTTTTACCCATTTGATTGTTTTTAACGCTAAGATTTATTTAATAAATCTGCTTTCCCTTAATCATTTTGATTTCTGAAGACGATCTCAATATGCCACACTTTGTGGCCCCACATGTGTCCGAATGGTCCAGTAAAAGTCCAAACACAAATAAAATGAAGAATCTGTAACATCCAATCTGGATGTACAGGGTCTGTAAAATTGTTATTTACAGACACTATACATCAAAAAAAACAAAACAAAAAAAAAAAAACAGAAATATTTTACAAAGAAACATGGCCAAAAAAAAGTTAGATATTGCAAAAGTGGTAGAGAAACTATGGAGGAAAAAAAGGACAAGGAGGGAAGAAGGAAAATACCATAAAAAGAAAATCAAGGAAAGGACAAAAAAAGAGAAAAGACAGAAGAAAACGATGCAAAAATGTATCAATGAAAGGACTAGAAAACAGGTAAAAAACTGGAAAGTCAAACTTAAGGCTATTAGGAAGGAAAAATGAAAAGGGAGGAGTTGAATGTCCAATGAATGAATTGAAGGACAAAGAAATAGAGAAGAAAAAAAAATCTGGAAATGTAAAGATTTTTCCATATTTTCCAAACCTGGAAAACCACCTGAAGTTTTCCACAGTAACGAAACCCCAAGTGCCATCTTGGATCGTACGTTACTCTCCCTGTGAAGCATGTTTACTTAGAATTGACTATTTTTGTACAAACAAATGCAACTTAGAAACTTTATAAAACATTTACTTAATTATCTTCACGTCAAGAAAAAAGTTTGAACTGATTTCACTGGGAAAGAAAATCCATTGCAAAGAAAATGTACAGACATCAAGAAAAAGATAAAATGTCTCTAAAGTTTTCCAGGGAGTTCTGCTGTTAAATTTCACCCAAAACCAGAACAGTTTTCTGTGTGAACAAGTTAAAAGAATAGCATTACCATGCACGACATCTAATGAGAGGAAAAAATAATCCAATATGCTGTCATTATTTGGCGTTACCAAATTATTTTATAAGGCTCCTGAATATACAGCTCCTGAAACAAGAGACGCCACACTTTATGAAACACATTTTAGTTTACAATAAATTCACATGAAAATTTTGTGGCAAAGTTAAAAGAAGAATCAGGCGTCACCGATTCGACATCACAGGTAAGTCCTTTTCACAATGAATGATCGTCTCAGTTGGACATCTACATGAACTCCCTCTGGGAAAGGACGGTGCGGAACAGGGACGTGCCTATGGCCTGGAAGTAGGTCAGGAACAGCTTGCTGTCTGTGACCTCCGCATGAACGAACCCCCCCTTGGTCGAAGACTTGCCGGTGAAAAACTTCAAAGAGTCCTTGGGGACGTGGTTCCAGTGTCTGGTGTCATCATCCAAGAAGTTCCCAGCACCACTGACTACATAGCCCACACCAGTCTCTTCAAGGTACTGTGGAAAAAGAAAGAAGCATAACAGTAAAGTTTGAAATAAATAAATAAATCTGCAAACAAAGTTGTTTGTTAAATGTCCTGGAGCTGACCTGCAGATTGTGGTCGTGTCCACACAGGTACGCGGTCACGTTGTGTTTAAGGAGCAGAGGGCGAAGCTTCTTCAGTAAGCACTTTGTGGGGCCGTGCTCCGACACGGACCAGACCGGATAGTGGCCCGCCACCAACAGGAAGTCTGCCTTGGACCGGGCCAGCCGGTCCTGCAGCCAGACCAGCTGACGGTTGGCGTCCACCGCAGACAGGGGGGCTCTGGGCTGCGCGTCAGCGAAGTCGTCGGAGTTTCCACAGAGCATCACCGTGTCGAGCATGATGATGGTGAGGGTCTTCCCCGTGTTGGGGATGCGGAAGTTCAGCTCGTAGTAATAGGAGGGAAACTTCCTAACGAAGGAGAAACATCAAATGCTCTCTTCACAACTTCTGGCTATTTGTTGGGAAGTGCATAAGAAAGTAGAACATCATCGAATAAATTTATTTCAGAATTTCAGCTGAAAGAGGGAAACTCGTACGCATTCATTACAGAGAAATTTCAAAGGTTATTTCTATTTTTGGAAACTTCGACTCCAGACCTTGTGAATTTCCGTAAACCTCTTGAATTGGCTTTGCTGCACATCCTCTGAAGACTGAGGTTATTTTACCCCCACTTTCCTTCCACTAAACTTTTCACTAATATACCCTCTAAAAAGCCCAGAGTTGTTGCCCTTTAGCAATAACTGGGTTTCTGGGTTAGAATGCATTTGTTATACGATATCAGATTTTTAGAGAAACTGAAGAGTAAGCTTTTATTAGTTAAACAAACATTTTGATTCCTCTTTGTGTAATGAATCCATACAAGTTTCAGGTTTTCAATGTATTGAAGCACACCTTACCATCTGTCGGACTTTTGAGAGTACTCGATCTGAGCTTTGACGTTTCCTGCATGGTCATGATTACCAGCCACAACATACCAAGGGACTCTGAGATACTTTGAGGTGTACACAGACTCAAAGGTTTCCTTTAAGTGGGAGATTTAGAAGAGACAATAGGTTTGAGTTCACAGAAAAAGGCTTTTTAGAAGGGTGTCTGTGGTCTCATACCAGAGAAACTCAACAGACCTGAAACCGTGGGGAATCCACACTGTCCACACCTTTGAAGTAGAAGTTATCACCAAGCGCCAGAATAAAGTCGGCGCCCATCTGTCCCGCTACGTTGCCCATTTCCTGAGCTGTAAGAGTCTGCTCAGTCGTGACATAAGGCGAGGTGGGGAGTCCGCCCCAGTCCCCTACAACCAGGAACCTAATGGAGGTCCTGTTTCCTGGTAGGGTGTAAAACAATACCTGTTAGCTGAACAGCAACACAACTAGGGTCATTTAAACTCACGGTAGTCAAGGTGAAAAAACTTACTGCCATTTCCTCCCAGGTCTTGAAAATCAGCAGGATAGCAGAGGGTCACACCGATGCCAGCGGATAGGAGAGTTAAAAGAACAAATGCCATCTTAAAAAAGCAAAAATAATCAGAGTTTCAGAGCGCTTGAAGATAAATCAAACAGAAGTGAACCAAAACCACATCTGAAAGTCAGCATCCATGTGATCAAAGGTTTAAAAAAAAAAAGAGGAAGAACAGGTTACACGGCTTCAGGTTGAGCAAAGTTTTGCACGTCTAGCTCAGCGAGTGTGGCTATGCTTCCTCTTTATTTCGTGACTGCTGCAAACAACAACACTGTCTTGAGTGTGATTGGTGCAGCTTGGAGCCGTCACGTCCCCGCTGGAGGCAATAAAGCCCAATCAATGTGGCCATATCTATGTGTCTGAGAGGGTCAGAGGTCACAGTTCAGTGTTCCAGAGCATCTCTGCCTTTTATAGAACATGTCATTTTATCATGACAATTTAAAGGGCACCTTTATAAGAGTATTAGGGTCACACTAAGACAAAAACAAAAACAAAATGATAATAAAGTTGCAATGTAACAACAATGGACTCATACGAGAATAAACTAATTATAATAAAGTAATAGTACTAATAGTCAATATGAGAATAAACAAGTTTACTGACATAATATTATGACTTTATACTTGTTATTTTGTAACTTAATTTTTTCTTGGTATGGCTCTAATAAAAAATAGCTCATGTGCTTTAAAAAATAAAACATGTAGCCATGTTCTGGCAACAAATTGTTTTAAAATTAATTCTAGAAAATTAGCCATTTCAAAAACCTTCCCAATGCAATGTCAGACATCAGCAACCACAGCCTGTTACCTAGCAACCCAATGGGAGCTCCAGGACATTTGGTCGGCAGGTTTTACTGCGACGTGACCTCTGCATGAGGTGTTTTTGAACGATGGCTGCTGGAAAACACAACTGTTTTGTTATTGACTTCCCATCCGGAAACCACTTGTTGCATTCTTGCGGGTTGTGCAGGAGGCTCTACTTCTGCTTTTCAAAGATCTACAAGTTGTACAATTGTGCACTAAAATGTCAATATCTAAGAACAATTTTGAACAAAAAACAATAAGCATGTTTTGTATAGCTCAAAAATCTATTGCAACTTGTTCAATGAAGCACAACAGATCACCTTTGAAAGAACACTTAAGTCTAAGAAGCAAAAGACAACTCTTTTTTTAAATTACAAGCTATTCAAATGGTGTACATTTGTGAGATAAAAAAAAAGCAAATTGAAAGTACTCACGGTGAGGAGACGGGATCTGGCTGACTGCGTCCTCACTCCTCTCCTCCTTCCTCTGCTTTTTATCAGCGATCCTGGAGGAGCGGCTTGAGGAGGAGCGGCTTGAGGAGGAGAGGCACAGGCATGATTCTTGTTCACAGCCTGACTCGGGACCAGGCAATGATCGGTACCACGTGTGGCCCTCGGAGGTTAATATAGCTCGTGTCTAGACTCCACTTCCAACACTTCAGCATTAATCACATTTTTTCCTGCTTCGCTTCCACCTCAAGTTTCTGTCTTCCTGATTTTTCTATGGAAAACGGAGCACATGTTATATATAATCGGATGGGTCAAGTTGTCTGTCTTGGAAACTCTTTTGTGTCTTTGATCATGTTACAAAACATAGTTGTTAAAGTCCAGGAGTTAGACATGGGTTCACTTTAAAGCTATACATTTTCAAACTTAAAACATTTTAAGGGTCTTTCTGAGGCTTAATTTAAGAGACGTTTTCATGTCAGACTTTGTCAGACCTAAATTCCCACAGTTCTGTCCCCTTACACCCATTTTAATAATATAAAAATGTATCCTGTTGGATACTGAACATATTTCTACTTTGGTTAAGATATAAACATGGAATCTGGAAATGAACTACAAAGAGTGGATAACTGGACAGATGAATGGTTTCATGGAGAGATGCTAAAACACATGCTGGAGTGCTTCGTCACTTCATCAGATGGATGAAGGAAGGAAAGATGGATGCAACAAATAGAAGGAGGAAATATTACTGGATGGACAGATGGTGAAAGGGATGGGTGGATAGATGGACTCAGAATGTGGATGGATGAATTGATTATTGGGCATATTAGATGTAAGGAAAATGGATGGAACAATAGTAAATGGATGCAAGGCCAAAAGGCAAGGGGTGTCATGGGTTTGACACAAGTCTTACCGGACCCTTACCCCATGTTCTGATAATTTACTATTGATTTAAGGTATCTAAAGCCACAAACCTTTTTTTTTTTAAAAGAAATTATCTGAAACTCGGTTTTTTAGACCAAGGTTAGAGCATCTTTATTGACACAAACAAATCCTTAAATCAGAATTACATCCTGATGAAGAACAGAAACAAAACAGTTTCAAACTGCTGTGATGATGTTAAAATAAACCTGTTTCAACAAATGTCAACTAAAAACTCACAAGTGATGAAACAAAATGAAATCCAGAGGGTTCTCTGGATTATCAACAACGCAGAGGACACAGACTTTAAAAACAGCACTGTTATTTGAAAGGATCAGTAATTTGTGTATCCAGAGTACTGGCCCTGGTTTTGTCCTCCATAGTTCTGGTAGGCGTCAAATCCCTGTTGATTCCCCCAGTTGAACTGGTTCCCCCAGCCTGCGTAGAGAGATCAGACCAGAAATACATTCTTGTAATCATCTGCTCCAACAGCACTGAAAATATTTAAAGACATCTCAAGAGAAACCAGTTGTTACCGTAATCATATGAATGTCCTCCTGTAACAGAACTAGGATAGGCTGTGCTGTAAGTGGAGGAGTTTCCACCCTGAACCACTGGATTGCTTTGGGTCAGCATCTTCTTCTTTTCCTCTCCATATCCGTAGCTGTACGGGCTCTGCTGGTCGACAGGTGGGGGCATGGAGCGGTAGCTTTGTCCCTTTGTGTCGCTGGTGCTGGGTACAGGCGGGGAGGAGTAGGTGGAGGTGCTCTCTGGGTAAAACGTACCGTAGCCTGTGCTGCTGTCCGATTCAGCCGTGTTGGAGTTTTTGCCAGTGTTGCTGGCAGCATTGTTAGCATACAGTTTATCTGGAATGGATAAACAACAAATTCAGGCCATTAGTGCTCTGTGAGGGTGTGAGCAGTGCATATACGAGTGTGATTAACAGCGCTAAAATTCTCCTCTGGACTGATTGTTTATGAATGAGCGGTGTATTTCTGCAGATGTCATTTTGCCACAGGAAAGAGGCAGATGAGCTTGATTTTTTTTTCCATAAATTACTGTCAGGACATAGTTACAGTTTAAACAAACATGTACACATATGTATGTATTTATTTATTTTTAATAAAAGTTACTACAGGTTTAAACTGAAGACTTTTTAGATAATTCTCATTTAAATGTAACCATCCTATGGTTCTAGTGCATTTTTTTAAATGTTCTCACAGTATGTTCTGTTGAACAAACCCAATGAATAAACATCTTATGAATAAAAATCTGTTCTTTCAACAGATTTTATTCAGTTCATTTGAGGTTTGCAGAAATTCATTTCTCAAAGTTCTCTTAAGGTCTCAAACAGGGTGAGAGAGAGAATTTGATTCCTTGCAACATATTGATTTATTTCTCAGTCATTCTGTGGTAATTTGTTTGGGATTACTGTCTTGCCCCTTGATCCAATCTTAGGACCAATCTTTATCTGTCGGACAGATGGCCTCACATTTGATTGCCTGCAAGGCAGAAGTTACAAAAACAAAGACTTTAGACTTGTGCTCTAAAAGACTGGGTTTAATAGTATAAATAATCCTGTGACGCTGCGCATTTGAAAGAGTAATGTACTAAATTTGAATCAGGCTCAACAGGCAATAATAAAGTCTAAAGAAGGACTAAACAAAACACTGTTTGGCATATTAAGAAATTTTGTATTTATATATTTTAATCTTTTACCATTTATCCATGAAAATATATTTATATTCTAGCAGGATGAATATTATGATTTGTCCGTTTCAAACCGGTTTAAAACGGCTCATGAACGTCTTAACACGTTGGATTAAATGTTAAAAGATCCTTACAGTAAATTGAAGCAGGGGAATACCAATGGATTTGTAGTGTGAGGCGCTTAAAAAGTTACGACACTCCATTGATTTGTGTCCATCACAATCTTATCCAAAGTTAACGTATTCATAGAGATCACCTGTTCAAAGTACATTTAGGATAAAAAACATTGAACATGTGAGCGCTGCCTGTGTGAGATTCCTTTAATCCCCAGTAGATTATCCTCATGTGTTCTGGACTGACGAAGACTACGGGTATCAAAATACTTACGATAGCCGGCACCAGCGCTGCTCTCATAGCTGTAGTTAGCTTTGAAATGAACGAAAAGATAGTTAGTAGTGATTTCCTCATCCCTGAGCTTCTTGTTGCAGATCTTCTATCCAATCATTAAAAAACCTAAAACCTCTTACTAGTGTTATAGCTGGGTCCGGCGCCAAAAGGTTGGCCCCGGCCTCGGCCCCGGCCCCTGGCTTGGCCCCCTCTGTTGGGACCCCAGCTTCGAGACCCGGTATCTGATGGAATACCACGGATTGTGCCAAATCCTGGGATGTGCTGTTGAGCAGGATATTTTAGATGGTTTAATGTAAAGTGACATAACAATAAAACCATCAAAAGGAGTTTCTCCAATAAATTACCATGTCAGTGTAGATGACCTTCTTCTTTGCAGACATTCGGTTGGCGTCTGAAGCGTCATCGTCGTTTGGGAATAACTTTTCCAAAGCAGCGAGGGCAGCGTGCGCCTTTGCTTCCTTTTTATTGGAGCCTTTCCCTTGAAACTTCTGCCCATCAACTTCCACCTGAAACACAAGACAGAAAGCCGTTTGCGTCGCACCACTTCTGTTAAAGTCTTCATTTTATTACAATTTTGGCAAAACAAAATATCTGACTTTTTAAATCAAGTGAATGAAAGTTTCATAGGGGATCAACAATCAATCGGCCCCGATTTCCTTAATTTTGGGTGACTTGCAATCTCCATTTCAAACCAATCTTATCCAACTAAACTGCTGCACCAACACAGAGGTCTGAAAAGCAGCTACTGCCTCCTGCTGTTCTGCCATGAGACACGGCTGACTGACTGTATTTCTATTTGAGAGCTTTACCTCACGTGCAGTCAAAAGAAGTTGTTTTTGTTTGTTTGTTTCACGGATACAGTTCAATGTTTTTCAGTAAAACCCAGTATCACACCTTAAAGTGTCGGTTCTAAAAAGAAATCGTTTCTGGTTCAAATTGGAATCGGCAGGTCAGGCTTTTTAACACTTGGGTTATTGGCCAGAAGATGGCGATCAGTGCACCTCTGAACTAAACAAAAAAAAACAAAACTTAGTGTTGTGTTTGAAGGTGGCCTTTTTTCTACTTGGTTTTATTTGATTTTATTGATCTCTCACTCTGTGGGTTAGTTCATTTATGAAGTATTACTTTATTACCTTCTAATCCTCAAAAAAAAAAAAAAAAGCACCACATTGTTGCACTTAAAACGCTGTACGAGGTAAACCGACATTGCCCTCTACATTTGTTTGCCGAGTGTGATGCTGCTGACTCACCTGCATGACGAAGGACTTGGCGCTGGACCTCCCAGTCTCTTTAAGCACCACATACTTCAGGCTGCGGCGCTTCTCGTTGAGCTCCATCACAGGGTTCTTCCCATTTTTAGTTAAGAGGGGACCCTGACCAATCTATTCGCAGTTGGAGAGAAAAAATTAAATCAAACAACTTTCTTCTCTTAAGCCATTGTTGCATGTTTTTTTAAAGAGACTTCAAATAAAGTCCTTTACCTCGTCTGCTGCGGTAGAAGCTGCAGCAGAGTCAGATTTCTGAGAGCTTTCAGTATCGCCACTCAGCTCTGATTTTGACTCCAGGCCTGTTGGAAGACCAAGATCTTTCAGGGCCTGTGAATAAGAAACGCACCAAATCAACAGCTGATACCGGCAGGTTTACCGGTCAGGCGATCTGCTTAGCTGGAGTCTGCAGCCTGATGCTTCGCGTGTATGTAGGATGGAAAACCTCAGCTAAGCCTGTCTCAATAAGCAACAAATCGATTAATCGCATGATAAATTAAAATGAGCTCAATCAACTATTTGCATTTTTGTTTTCCTTGTGACAGGCCAAACCTCAGCCCACTTTGACAACAGTAACAAGCCTCAAACATTGAGGGAGGGGTGTGAGCTGATAAACTGAATTCACTTGTGTAGAGAAGATTTATTAGCTTCACCTTGATGGCGACGTTCAGCTTGGCAGCTCGCTTAGACGGCCCCGACGCCTCGTAGGTTTTTCCCTTCACATCCACAGACATGGTAAATACCGGCTCGTGGACTGGACCCGTTTGAGAGATAAGCCGATACTCCAGGCGAGACTGATACTGGTTTAGGCGCATCACAGGATTTATGTTTGGGTCAACTATGAGAGGAACAAACAGGAAAAAGGTGGAAAAAAGTATAAAAATGAACTCAGACGACAGCCTTTTGACAAATTTATTGTCAAATTTATTGTACTCCGATAGTTCTTACAATGTTTCTTTAGAAAGCCTTTCTCAAATTTCTTCTCTTTGCTTTTTGATGCCGCCTCATCCTCATCTTTCTCCACTGCTGAGTAAGGCCTCTTAGCTGGGAGGAAGCATTGAGAAGCAGGAGTCATCTGACCTGCATTAAACCAGAGAAACAAAGTTGAGACCCGACTCTTTGAACAAAGCGCAACTCCGCAGAGGATCTCTGTTGTCCTGTACCTGTGCCGCCTTTGCGGGTGTATTTCAAAAATTTTTGGGATTTATAAGGTTTGTTGTCCATCCCCAACACCTTGTACATCTGTCCAAAAGCCCACAGCCTCAAGGCAAACTGAGTAAAAAAAAAAAGTTAAGAGAGTCAAGAAGTTTAATGCAACTGAAGCGAGCAAGATAAGTATTGAACAAGTCAACGGTTTTCTCAGTAATTGTATTAATATTTGTGTGGAATAATCAAATGTTAGCAAGAATCAAGGCAATCCACACATAGAGAGAAATCAATACAAATTAGTCCATAAAATTAAATTATTTGTAATGAAGTAAGTATCGCTGCAATGGACAGGTGACCTGTACAGGGTGGCCCCACCTCTCGCGCGCTGATCTCTGGAGGTAGACACCAGCACCCCTCATGACCCCATTAGGGATAAT